CATTGTAAACCACTTATGAGAGATGACCACCATAACATTATTGGAAAATGATGCATCCAAATTTATGTGCTATTGGTACATTAACAATGACCAATTATGTTTTTTTTCTAGAAGGGAAATATTCATCTCTCTAGCTTTTAAGATCTTGAAACCCCATTCATTCTTTGGCTCAGTAGTTCTCTCTCAAATCCACTCAATGTTCTTCTCTTTCTCCAAATGAATAGTCTAACAATGGTATTAATTTTATGATAAAAATAATTATCAATAAATTAATGAATATAATTATAAGATAATAAAAAATATAATTATTGATTCTTTTTCTTTTTATATCATTAAAAAAATGAAAAATGTAGTGCATATATTTTTATCAATATTTTTTGTGCAACAAGGACAAAGTGTTCAAGCTATAAATCACGAAATAAAGACATAACAAAAATATCAGCTAACAAGGCTATTTGAACCCCAACCAGGGGAGAATTAAAGACTTGAACACCCTTTCACCAACTCAAACCCTTTTTGGCTAACACATCGACCACTTGATTGACCTCTATTAGTATCCATTAACAATGCAATGTATATATTTCCATTAGTATTTTTTTTTTGTGCAACAATGTGCCAAATGTCCAAACTAAAGACCACGAAAGAAAGACACAACAAAAATATCCATTAACAAAGTTATTTGAATCCTAGTTGTAGGAGAATTAAAGACTTTGATACCCTCTAACAAACTCAAACCTTTATTGACTAACACACCAACCACTTGATTGAACTCTCTAAAAACATATATACAACTCGTAAGGGAAATCTCATGCACCATGCTAACTACTTTATTACAAAGGTAGTAGCAAGCATGATTTTTATTATACTCTTCATTTGATAACTGAACTACAATGGTTGAATTTGACTCCGCATATGTCCTTTAGAATACTTTTATATCTTGACAAGCTTAAGCCAATAATAGATACCCTATAACTTAGCTTGCATTATTGAACACACCTCAATTTTATACGAAAAAAACATAATAAAGGTGTCATTGTGATCTCTAATGATACTGTTACAGATATTGTGAATATATTACAAATATTGTGGATACATATATTATGGTTATTATCCTCACTATCAATTAGGGATATGATTAGATTAGTTTCCATAATATTAGATATTAGTATCTCTATCATTTATTGTATTCATTCTATAAATAAGATTGGTATGTGTACAACAATACATATAATTCCTGAATCACAACATGGTATCTAGAGCTTAGGTTCTTTTCTTTTAGAATATATTTTTCTCTCTTCTTGCAAAGGCCCTCGCTGCCACCTTCGGCTGCCGCCGGCGGGTGCCCCCCCCCCGCCGC